GCTTTGCAGGCCTCAAATGGCAGACCTATCTTGTGTACCTAGATGACGTGATCGTGTTAGGTCCAAACTTCGAAGAACACCTCCACAGGTTAGAGACGGTACACGAGGCAAGGTTAAAGACTGTACTCGAGGCAATCAAATCTTCAGGGTCGACTCTCAAGCCGGAAAAATACCACTTCGCCTACGAGGATCTAAACTTTTGGGACGCCGTAGTGAACAGGAAATGCGTTCTCGCAAATTCGGGAAAAACTGCTGCTGTCGCCAACTTCCTCAGCCAACCGAGAAAAAAGCCGTGCGCCGATTCCTTGGGTTATGCGCTTAGTACCGGCGGTTCGTCGAAAGCTTCTCAGGGATAGCAGATCCCTTTACAAGGCTGAAGGACACCGCAGATTTTGTCTGGAACCAAGAGCAAGAAGCCACGTTTCGAGAGCTTCAACAACCCGTGCTCGCACACCCGTGCTCGCACACTTTGACGAAGTCGTCAACACCGAAATACACACAGACGCCAGCAACGTCGGCTTGGGTGCCGTACTGATCCAGAAGCACGGCAACTAAGAAAGGATCATCATTTACGCCAGTCGCACCTTAACGAAGACAGAAGTGAACTACTCGACAACGGGGAAGGAGTGCCTTGCCATTGTGTGGGCAACTTCGAAGCTTCGCCCCTACCTCTACAGCAGGCCGTTTAGGGTATTAACTGATCATCACGCTCTTTGCTGGCTTGCTGCTTTGAAAGATCCGTCCGGCCGCCCCACAAGGTTGAACCTCCGTCTTCAAGAGTTTGATATTACCGTCACCTACAAGACCGGACGAAATCACTCCGACGCTGACTGCCTCTTGCGCGCTCCCGTGAACACCCCCAGCAACGGCGGCAGACGATGAGGAGGCTTTCCTCAGCGCACTCAGCGCAACCGACTTCATCGACTAGCTACGCGGAGACACTGAGCTACGCGACCTTATCAATCAGCTAGAAGGCCGAGGCAGCGAAGTTCTCAGGAACTTCACACGCGGTCTTCCGGCGTTTTGCTTACACAATGGTGTCCTAGTTAAAAAGTACGAAGTACCTCCTCGTCGCCCCTTCAGAACTGCGCAGTGAAATTCTGGAAGTATATCACGACGTCCCAACGTCGGGACATCTGGGGCAGGTGCGTATTCTTGCGAAGCTGCGTTCAGACGTTCACCCAAATAAAACTATATTTCTACTGCGTTTTCGCAAGTTGCTTCTGCGGCCTCGCCACGTGACAACATAGGACCTTAGTAAGTACGCTGGGGCAGCGGTTGCCGAATTAATCCAACCTTCGAGGCATGGGGGATGTCGGCGCATAGACGCGCAGTTCATGACTCATAACATAACAAGATTACAACGGGGAAAAAAGCGTGGTCTCACGCGTGACTCGTCAGCCTCAACAAAAAGGTCGGCCTCAAAAACAAAATTTGTTACAAGAGATAATTTTATCTTTCAAAGCACCCCTCCGAAAAATGGGAACGTCCCGGCCACTCTCGCTCCCCGTGTTATCGCGAAATACGGAACCGCGTGTGCCGGTTTCACTGGGCCATCCACGAATTAAGGGGTGTCCAAACAGGACACTACAAAACCCGCGACTCCGGCAAATCGTGCCGCGCTCTGCCGCGATCCGCTTCCGGCCGTCGGAGGGAAATTTCCCTCCGTCAATTCTTCCCGGGGGGAAACTTCCCTCCGTCAAATCTCCCCCTCGCTTCCTCCACGGCGGCCTTGCTCTGCTTATCACGTGGGTCCGGAGAGCCACTCACACGCTCTGTTGGCTGTCGGTCAATTGCTCAAGGCCTCCGCTCACAATACGAAACCGCATCGGACGCCATCACGACGAAAGTGAATCTCGACAAAGAAAGCAGATCCGAGGCGGGCGAAACGCACCCTTCGACGCAGGAATGTCCCAAATCCACCCAAAGCCGGACCTCCTTGGCCTTCGAGCCGAGGCGACGGCGGTACGCGAGGGCGTTGGCGACGTGAGACAGACGCAGGTGGTGTGTGACGTCAATCTGAAGAGGAGAGCAGTCGTGATCGTAAAAATTTTCACGACTCCTGCAAACATTTTCACTACTCCGACAGACCGTAAAAATAGAAGCGTCCGCTTCGATTTTCACGATTTGTCGGAGTCGCGGGTTTTGTAGTGTCCTGTTTGGACACCCCTTCACTTGTGCTAAGCCGGAATGCAGCGCCTCGCTCGGCTTGCCGCATTTCGGCCAGCCGAGCTGGGCGCTGCTTCCGCTCCTCTGTCTCGTTCGCCCGCCTTGCACGTTGAGCAGCGGCATCCACTGCCTGACGCTGCTTTCTCTGTTCCGGTTTCGGCAAACCAATCTCCTTCGTCCACAGTCCGCCTTCTTTTGCAGCCTACTTGGTCCAGCGCTGTAGTATACTTGGCTCACACTCCATTTTGTAGCACAAACCATGCATACGCGCTCCGCACACCTTCAAGTTCAGGCTCGCTCCAGCATCCGTGTGAGCACAGACGTCCGCCCCTTTGTCTTTCTCTACTCTCCTCCTCTCTACGTGGCGCGCCTCCCTTTTCATTGTTTTGTCCACAGACGGACGCCGTCAGCTTTTTCCTGTCATGTGCGTACTAATGCTAGCGCATTATTAAGCAACACGTACGACAAGGATAGCGAACTTACAACTTATTTTATTACAGAAACATTCACTCAACCAGTGTGTTGTTCACTATACCGATAGGAAGCCATAAACTGATATCATGTCGGCAATCTTATATAAAGCAATCTAAAAATTGATTTCCTTATTAGCAGAAAAATAGACGGCATCCTCACGCACTTTACACCCACGTTCTTGATAAAGAAAGCTTCAACGATTTTTTGTCTCCGTCTTTTCATTCGCTTTTCTTACAAATTTCGTCCAATCTAAAAGCGATCACAACGGTTACAACGCTTACAATGTTCCGTAACGTCCCGGTTGTTCGACATGAGCAGAGTCACAACTCAGTGGAATCTTGTCACGTCGACCACCCTTGTAACACGTTCAGCGATCTCGTGACATGTTTTTGAAACACAGGACATGTTTTCTTTTCGACAAGGCCGAACAGACTTTCGAGAGTGTGCAAGGGGATGAAAGCACGACATCCACACTGTGACTGGCACCTACCCTTTTTTTAAATAGTACGACACCTTGTGCATTTAACGCACCACCTGTACTGGCACCCTGACTCTCTGCTCTCTAAAGTTTTGCCGTTCAGAATTTTAATTCTTTTGTTTGTTGTCGCAGCTTTTTACTACCATTAGACGCTAGGGAAGACGGGTAACCAGATTTCTTTAAGTGCTCAAGCTGAAGATCAAAGCTATGTGACAATTTGTGTTTGTAGCTCTTTGTGATAGCTTCCTGTAGGGATGTGGACGCGATCTCTCGTTCGACTAATTTTGAGTGGGAACTGCTGAAGGGAAGGAGGTCTCTCTTTGAACGTGGATTGCATCTCCAGCACACATAGTCTTTTTTACGAAAGAGCTGGAGGCTAAGAAAATGTATACATTTATCCGTGAGCTATTCTCATGTGAACTTCAGTCCACCCGAAAGTGAAGTAAACGAGTGAACGATTTGCGCAACATCAGTGTCGAAACTAATCTCCGTACAATCCCCCGAAATAACAAGGAAGTCGTCCACATCTCAGAAAGCTTTCACCATAATCTTCCAAAGTCAAGTCGAATTTGGGGCTTCACGTGCCAAACCAACGACGGACATCTGGCACGCCGCAGCGGAGGACTGAGGATTAATTTGGGCCACCTGGGGATCTTTCGACATGGATCATTGCGGATCATTGCGAAGGCTGCGGTTGCCAACCGCTTTTATATTATCGGTATTGTGAACGACAGATTGGCTGTGTGAATGTTTCTTCAATGAAGTCAGTTGCAAGTAGCGCCTGCATTCGTCCTACGTACGTGTTTCTTATTTGGTCCGTGTTTCAGTTCGCGCTTCTAACCTTTTAAAAAAGTCAGCAATTATTACTTTGACTGATATCAAACTTAAAGCACAGCACTCTCAAAGCATGCGTTCGCTCTGCAAAAGTAGGAGTCTCGCGGCTTTCTAAGAAAACAAGCAAATAAAATTATTAAAATATAAATTTATATCGATAATTCAGATAAACACGCAGAGCACAGATTGTGTTGTGCATGCATAATGCTTGCGTTATTATTTTTTTAAATTACTGGTTCCCCGGAGCTTTGGGTGGAGAATGTGTTGCACACACACCACGCTCATTAAGTCTCTTGGACTATCAGGATGATTAAGGCAAATTAAACAGTATTCAAGAGTAGAATCAGCTGCCCCCGCTGACAGTCGCCTGCTACTACAGGCTCATTTCGGGAATACTTAGTCCAGCTGCTTGTGCTCTCGTTCGTCTCCTCGTGGAGTCGAGCATGGGGGCCGGGCTGCGGATCGCGCAGTCCGGGATTCGATTTCAACTGCACAGGTTCTTAGATCTTGTTAATTATAATTTAGCATGATTATGAAGATGATGAAGTATGCATTCTTTGTTTTGTATGTTTATGCATTGCTTTATATGTGCGATGTAGGCTTTAGGTCGCTTTGGCCTGCACTCAACGGCTTCTCGTTACGCTCAAGTGTGACGATTTTCGCACGAAATCCACCCCTGAAACACGTTCTGTGTCAAAGTGATTAAAATAGGGACGGTCATTGAATACAGTGGAGCACTGCAAATGGCAGTTAAGATAAACCCGATGTGAGCCTAGCATGGATTTGTCCCGATTTGTTCACCTGGTTAGAAACTCGACTAACCGGAAGCTGATTATTCAATGTGACTACCTTTAAAAAAATAATTAGCGGAAGAAATACTGAGTTTCGAAAAAAGTGAGTGGGAGTTTTCTTTGGTAGGCATGCCATTACATATTTTTAGAAGTTAGGTCAATTAGCAGAGGGAAACTTCAATTATTTGACATTGTTAGCCGCACTAAATATGTCCCGTACGTCTGATTTCTGTTTGCAAATTATTTTCAGCGCTCGTATTTCTTCGGCTGCTTTTTACCGACTATGAAACCTGCTTCGTCTTACAACAGGTCGATAATGGAGGTGAGCAAGAACTCTTTTTTCTACTACATTTATTAACAGTGGATGACCTGCATAAATTCATGGTCCTCAGAAAATATTATTTCACACACGATTTCAAAATACCATCCGCTAAAGAAAAACAACTAAGGCACACAGAAAGATTTCACATACCAAGAATATACACTAATTATGGGAAAAGGTTGAGGTAGTATTATGTACCAACATATTTTAATAATCTTCCCGATAGTTTACTTAATCTGCAATCCTTAGCACAGGTGAAAAAAGAAATGCGTAAATGGTGAAGTACGCCAGGAGACGAATAGAAAACTCCCAGACCCATGCCTTTTTTTTTTTTTTTTACGTCGCCACTGTATTGCTGCATTCCTTTTTGCACGCCTGCATTCACTATTGTTCTATGCGCGACAGTTTGTATTGCCATGATTTTAAAAGCTAAGATCATTCTGTGTCATTTGTGGTATTACAAAGTCTATGTAAATCATTAGTAATATTGTATAAAAATAGGTAATTGCGTTTCATGCTTACTGGCCTAAAAGTTTGTGCTTGTATAGTGTTAATGCGATGAACCATTTGTTTTCTTTTACTTATGTTGAGTTCCGCATAATAGGACTCCAATCAGTGTATCAATTTGGTTTTACATACTTCCGATTTGTTAAATTCATCCCATGATGGACTGCAAGTACTCACGCACAAGCACGCAAGTGCTTTTGTGACGCTGAGGAAATTGTATGTATGCTTTCTTTGTGAATAAACTTATTATTATTATTATTATTATTATTATTATTATTATTATTATTATTATTATTATTATTATTATTATTATTATTATTATTATTTGAACGTTGGATAGACCAAGGATGAGTCACATTGATTTATTTTACCAAAACGTTCGCGGCCTGCGTACAAAAGCCGATTGCTTTTTCTCTAATGTTACCTTATCCAATTGCTCTATATTTTGTTTAACTGAAACATGGTTGTGTTCTAGCATCGGCTCCTCCGATTACTTCCCTCCTTGTTTTGAGGTGCACCGTCGCGATCGTGATTCTACCCCGCGGAGCAGAACGGGAGGTGGAGTGTTGGTCGCAGTCGACAGGCGCTACCGCTCTAGGAGACGCGAAGACTTAGAGAAATTTCCCGAGAGCGTATGGGTCGAGATTGAGGCTGCAAAGGGAGTACGCGTTTTAATCGGTTTATTTTACCTCCCTCCCCAGACACCGCCAGATGAATTTCATAGTTGTCTTGTTGGCATAGAGAATACAGTGAATGACTTACAGGGATGCGAAGTCTTAATCTTGGGGGATTTTAATGCTCCTGGAGTCAACTGGCCGCAGCTTGATGTTTTTACGGACAACTTTTACTGCAGGCAGAAAGGCACCCAGCTCCTAAACTTTTCTTCTTTCTTAAATCTCAAACAACACAATAATGTTTTGAATCACCAATTTAATGCTCTAGATTTATGCTTCTCAAATATGGACAGTGTGCGTGTAGCACGGGGTGAACTGCCATTAGTTCCTCAGGATACATATCATCCTGCACTTGATATAGTACTTTCTTTCGAGAATTCTTCTGTTCGTGCTCATTCTAGTGATTCCCCGCCGCACACCTCATATAATCTGTCGGCAGGGGACTATGTCGGGATGCATCATTACCTCACGAGTTTTGATTGGGCATTGATCTTGGAGTCGCCTGATGTGAATGACCAGGTCATGCTCTTCACGCAAACTGTTCGGAAGGCCATGGATACTTTTATTCCGTTAAGGACAGTTACTAAATCTCGCATTCCTAACTGGTTTTCCAGTGAGCTAAAAACACTACTGAAAAGAAAGGACTTCTTTCACAGGAAGTTTAAGAAAAGTGGCCTTTTAAAGTGGGAGAAGGAATTCAAGAACTGCAGAAAGCAATGTACGGTCCTGGATCGCGACCGCCAGGCTCATCGTTGCTCAGTGGAATCAGATCTTGTCAATAATCCGAAGAAATTCTGGAAGTACATTAATTCACGTTCTGGGAGGCATATCGAGTCGAAGATTGTCCTGGATAATCACGAGAGCGATTTGAAGTCCGTGCCTGAGTTATTTGCTGAGCATTTTAGGTCCGTCTACAGGGATAGTACGCAGCGTTCTGCACCTGTGCTGCCTCACTTAGATGGGTTTGGTGACTTGTTAAGTTGCATTAATGTTGATGAAGAGTCCGTACGATCCTGTATTAAGAAAATGAGAGCAACATTATCAGTAGGGCCCGACGGCATTCCCTCTGCGATTCTCAAAACGTATCACGACATATTCACGCCGGTACTGTGCTCTATATTTAACAACTCGTTAAGGTTGGGAACCTTTCCTGAAACGTGGAAAGTCGCTGCTGTTGTTCCAGTCTTAAAGTCGGGAAAAAAAGGTGATATCTGTAACTATAGACCTATTTCTCTTCTCTCTCCATTTTCTAAGCTCTTTGAAATGGTAGTTCATCAATTCCTGTCTTTCAAATTTCAAAACTTAGCAATTCCCAATCAGCATGGTTTTATGAGCGGCAGATCAACAACTACCAATCTCGTTAGCTTTATGTCTGCTGCATCTCGTGTAATATGTAACAGAGGTCAGTTAGACGTTGTCTACTTTGACTTAAGTAAGGCTTTTGACGTAGTCAATCACATTATTCTTTTATCCAAACTTTCCTCCTATGGAGTATGTGGCTCAGTACATGACTGGTTAAAGAGCTACTTGTCAGAGAGAGAGGCATATGTCCGGGTTAACAACATGAACTCTTCGTTGTACAGGACTCGCTCTGGCGTTCCTCAGGGATCTGTTTTAGGACCCCTTCTGTTCACAATTTTCGTAAATGACGTCTCTTTTGCTGTTTTAAATTCTTCATTCCTGCAATATGCTGACGATATAAAAATTTATCGAGAAATAGTTACTGAACGTGATTGTGCTAAGCTCCAGGAAGATGCATGTTCTTTCTACCGATGGTGCTCTGAAAATGAACTTCTCTTGAACCCGTCCAAAACCAAGGTCATGACGCTCTCTCGGAAAACTCACAATATCTCTTTTGCATATAATATTCAAGGAGAAACTTTGTCTCGAGTAAGTGTAATGAAAGATCTCGGAGTCATGGTTGATTCTGGGTTGCGTTTCTCTGATCACGTTGGTAGGCTGGTTAACTCGTCTTTGCGAATGTTGGGTGTTGCCTCTCGCTTAACCAGGGAGTTCAAAAACCCGACGGCTTTTAACACGTTATACTGCTCGCTATCCAGGTCACAGTTAGAATATGCCTCAGTTGTTTGGAATGGAATTTCTAAAAGTCACTCCTTGGAGATCGAACGTGTGCAAAAAAAGTTTGTTTCTATCTTTAAACATCGCTACATAAAGGAGGATGTTCACTGTTTAACGTATGAGTCTGCGTTAGAGCGTGTTGGTTTGCTTAGCTTGCACCGGCGTCGGGAGAACGCGGATTTACTATTTTTGTTTAAAACGCTGCATGGACTCATCAATTCTCCGAGCCTGTTATCTGAACTGTGCCTTAGGGTCCCACGTGTGCCTACTCGTCTTCTGTCATCTTTTTATGTTTCTAGAATGTTTAGTCCGGTAAACCCAATTGTGAGAATGGCTCAGCGTTTGAATCATTACTCTGAAAAACTTGATATTTTCAACCCTTGCTACAGGACGTTTGTCCTTTCTATTAAAAACTTGCCCGTGCAGGATGAGCATTGCTGAATTGCTTTGTTATGTCTGAATGTCGTCATCTCCATGTCGTGTTTTCTGGTGGTGCAGTTGTTGTCCTTCGGTCTTGTGTTCCGTCTCTACTGTTACTGCCTCGTTTTTATTTCATTGTACTAATTACTCGTGCACTGCCTAGTATTATGCTAAAAATGTATCTTATTTTCTGCGGAGATGTGTGTAGTGTGTTTTTTTGTTTTTTGTTTTTTTTTTATCCACCAGTGTACCAGCACCAAGACCTCAGGGTTGTTCCTGGGCACTGCATAATAAAGATTGATTGATTGATTGATTGATTGATTGATTATTATTATTATTATTATTTTTATTCTAAATCTTATTGGCCTGCTCAATTCCTAGCACTTTGACTAAGAAAAACAGTAACTAAATATTTGTAGCACGCTCTTTCTTTGCCGTGACATCTACAGCTGCAAAGCTTGAGTGCTTCGCTAAAAAATAAATTGACTAAAAAATGTTCATTTGTTTAAATGCTGTGCATGCTAAGTTGATACCCCGTTCAGTGTTTCTATCAGTAAAGCGTTTCATAACGCAATGAAGATGAATAGTGCCTGTCCTTAGCAGCACAAAATATTTTGAAAACTTTACATGAAGCTTGAACCTACAGATAACTTTTTTTCTACATTACTTACACTATTCACAGAGGACATAATAGAATTGCGCGCGACAACTAGGTCTACTATCACCGACAGTCTGAAATTGGGCTTGGTACTGAACCTCTCGGGTCTTGTGATTTCTGGTTCCACCTATACTCGTTGTCACCTCAAGAAAAATCAAATTTTAGGCAATTGTTCATACGCCGCGCGAAGTAATCATTACAAGATTTGGTTGTCGGAGGAAGAAGCGATGCTTTCGGCGTTTGCAACACGTCTTCATGAAATAATATATATATAATTTAGAATGCGCCTAATTATATATTAGGCGCATTTTAATTTATATATTAGGCGTATAATTAGATATAATATATATCTAATTTAATTCTCGAAGGGGCAAATCAATAATGTTCTATGAGGAGCCGGATAGTGTTTATTTTCCTGTACATGCTTGCCACAAATAATCACTTCTTGGCGAGGAAGCGAGGGCGCCGACGAATGGTGAAAAGAATGTGTGGGATGATTTGTGCGACGGTGATGAGTGATTTGGTTGCATGCGCTGTCCTCACTGGAACCTCAGGCGGTACGGTTTAGAAAGGGGCGTGGTATCTGCCGTGCGTACAGAAGAGATCTCGGTAAGCTGGCCCATTGTCCCAGTCACTTCAGCCCTAAGGAGTCAGGACACCAC